AGTGAAGGAGAGCCGAAGACATCGTTACTAATTCAGGGCTTTTTGTTAGGACAAAAAGCTGGCTGTTATTTGAATACAAAGAGTCTCAGCTCAAAACAGACACTTCCTGCTCAGTACTGACAACTAACGAGGTGTGTGTGTGTGTGTGTGTGGTGTGTGTGGTGTGGTGGTGTGTGGTTGTGTGTCGGTGTGTAGTGTGTGTGTGTTTATTGGGGTCGGCCCTGTTTAACAGATTTCTTCTGCTGGATTAGACTGTTTCAAAACAATAAGCAGGTTTCAGACGATGACTGACTTTACAGACAGTGGCTATCAGAGTGCTGGTTACCACTGTCCTTGGCCAACCCATGAGACTGACTCTCTTGGCGTATTTAGCATCAGTTTACCATTGCAGTGTTGGGAGTAACTGAGTATGACAGATCCAAGATCAGGGTTAAGTAATCAGATTACAAAAATAAGCTAAACTACAGTCCAGGATTACATTTGAACAATGTGTAATTATGTTACATTTAGGTTTGACACTTCAAGGATTATCTATGTACATATTGATTATGGCTTTAAAGTATGTTAATTATGTTATGTCATTTTCTTCCTTTGATATCTATTATACACATGCCCACCACAACCCCATACATAATAATAATGATGATCAGAGGAGGCTGGGAGCAGGTGGTAGCATTACCTGATATCGAAGTGTAGTGCAGGGGTATATGCATGTATACACAGTTTTCTTTTCAGTCCGCTCTGGGTACCCAACCTTCTAAATCCCCTCTGTGTGCATTGACATATGTGCAAGTTTTATAGATGATAAGGAATTAAGGGAAGACTTCACTCAAAATGCAACAGTTGCTGAAGTTGTGTCACCTTATATTCTGTGGGCCAATAGTTGATTTGCAAAATCTGCTCTTCTTCTGTGGCTGATGTTAGTTTTTAAGAGCAGAAATACAGAAAATAAATCGAAAAGGCTTTATTTAAAAACTATACTGGTTGAACCAGCTGAACACACTAAACATCATGTGACACCTTCCATTATCGGTACGTTACCACCTGTGTGTGTGCGCGTGTGTTGTGTGTGTGCGTGTGTGCGCTCATGACTTCATTTCACTATGGCCCTTTCCTGGTATGGGCATCACCCTCGATCACGCCCGTGTATCAGTCTGAACTGTTTACTCTCCGATCATATGATGGGGTACGCATGCGCACAACACCACAACACACACAGACACACACACACACACACACACACACATATGCACACACAAAAACGCCCGGGGCAGTTGTGAGTCATTTCAATACAGTGTGTTGTGGTCTACAGATCTGTTAGTCACCTGTTGTCTCTGCTGTTTGTCTGTAGCACACCTGACACCTTGAACACCTCTTCAAACTTACTAACACATACTTACTGTACTGTGTCACATCTCATTTGCATTATGTTATCTTTAAAGCTCAATATTTGGACCAAAATTTACCCATGGATCAAGTGAACATATGGAACAACCTGTACAGGAGAAAAAAGGCAACTAAGAAAAAGATCATGTTTAAGAACATTTGAGTCAAACTCATAAAGGAGGTTTCTGAAAGTATTTACAGCTAAAGATCAGCCAAGGGTCGAACTTTGATAGAAAAAGAGTATTTTGAACTCTTGAATAAACTAGATTATGCGAAAGCCTGATCTTATATGTCAAGGACATCTTATTTATGTAAGAAAGAGTTACATTAAAACTATCACTGTGTATAAAGTAGTTCATTGCTCCACCTGGAGCAGCTACAACAGTAAAATGCTGCTCTAACATTGATGCATCAGTATTAAAAAGTCACAAGAGACTTTTTAATACTAATACTTAAAGCTGTAAAGCTGATGTAAAGCTGAGAATACTTAATACTATATTTTAAAAGGAGTTTTACTTTACTTAATGGAGTACATAAGAGAGCAGGTCCAGAGACTCTGGAGTCCTCTGGACCTCTAACTTATCTGAGAAGCTGATTTCCAAGCTAAAAGACGTAGATGAAGAAGTCTTAAAGTTAGGACTGACACGCTCATTATTTTTTGGAGCTACTTTTAGCCTCAGGATGTTTTGTGAACACGGCCCCTGAGCTCTGTCCTAACTCTACTGTCAGGTGAACACAGAGTGGACTGCTGACTAGCTTGTTAGCGAACAACATCCAGCATCCTGGCTGAGCTAAGCTAACAGTTTCCCCCTGATTCCACTTAACAGGTCGAGGAGGTTAAGGGCCAAAGATCAGAGCAACAAGTGAAAAGATGAATGGTCACAGATTACAGAGAGAATAAAGACAGAACCCTCTGTTGGTTGCACTGTTGAGCAGGAAAATAATGAACTGTTTGAAATAATGCAGTATAAACACACAAACAAGCAGAGTGTTCATCTGCAGAGTCAGAGCGAGTTGGACAACACAGAATCCTAAACCAGGACCCAAAACAGGGAGTGATGTAGAACCAAAGCCAAACTGACCACTAAGCCAAAGTGCAGCTGGAGAAATTACAGAGTGAGTCAGTCTGCTGTTTAACTGTCTCTTCCTCCTCCTCACCACACCTACCAACACGCCAGACGTTTCCACAGATATCAGCATTAACTTAAGGAGGAAGGATCTATTGGCAGAAATGTCATATAATGTGTATAACTATGTTTTCACTAGCAAGAAGATGAGCTATTTCTAGTTCTTCTTAATGCCTGCCACCATGAAATCAATAAAAAAAAGACGGTAGAAACTCCACAGGGTCGCCAGAATCATCACAAAATGAAAGTTCCTTGTAGGTCAAGGTTTGAGGAAATATTCTCTCATCCTGACTCCATGATATCCATCTGAACACCTCACACGGAAAAGAATAGGAATAAAACAACTGTTATTTTAAAAACAAGCATTATCCCTCCAACCCTAACCCTTTACAGTGAGTTTCAGCTCATTGTTTATTTGTTCTGCTTCACTCGGCGCTCTCATAGTGTCGTTTTCAGAGAAAAAGCTGTAAAAAGCCACTGTACACTACCTGCTCAGCAGCAAACAGCCAACAGACACAGTCAGAGACTAGCTGGTGAACACAGTGGAGCATTTAGCAGCTAAAGAGACAGATATTTTGCAACATCTTAAATAAAGTATTTTGTTTACAATAATATAAAACAGAGAAAGGGAGCAAGTCCTCATAATTTAGAAGTAGATAACAGAACCTAAATGATTGGCCGATCAGCAAGTGCCTAAGTTAATTAACTTGTACAAAGTTACCTACATTTGAATTAAAGGGCCAAGACCCAACCTGGAAAAAACACACTAAAATAACTCATAAGTGTGTGGACATATTTATGGCTTTGTAGTGTAAACACAGATGGGATCAAAATGGAGAGCGGCAAGGATGAAAATTGCACTTGCAGTAGGTAGTTATTGAGCTGAAGCATGGAAAAACACCAGCCTGGTCCTTTAAAGAGTTGAGGTCTTAAATTAAGTTCTACAGTTAAGAGATGAGATAAAATATGCTGATTTTTGAATGGAGTTTGGTGAGATGATTCAGCCACAGAGCAGAGTTACTCTGCCTCTACACGTTATCTCTCTCTCGCTCACTATCTCTCTCATTCATTCCCTCTGTCTCTCTCTCACCTCGACAAACAGCAGCATTCAAATGATCTCCTCCTCCTCCTCCTCCTCTTCCTCCTCCTGCTCCTCTGCTGGGCCTCCTTCCTCACACCGACGCCTCTTCAGGGAAGAAAAACAGGAGTGATGATGGCAGGCTTGTTGCCTCCTCCACCTCCTCCTCCTTTATCTCTTTCTCTGTCCACACTACGCTCAGCCGCCGTCTCCCAGGTGACTCAGCCAGAGAATGACATCATCCCTGTCAGCACACACACCTGTTTCCTCAAAAAGCACCACCCCTCAACCAGGAAGCCCCACCTCCCACCACCCCCTTGCTCCTGTGCACTTCCTGGATCTCTTAAAGGGGAAGCGTCAGTCACTGCTGCAGGGCAAAAACAACAGGTGAGTTTGTTTCCAACAATAAGGGAATACCAACACATAATATGCCCTTTAAAAATAAGAAATAAAACACTGTAAGTGTAATTCTTATGTGCAATAAAATAAAAATAAGGGGTTGTCATTGTTGATCTGTGAATTATAGTGAGGTATCACTGAAACATTGTTATAATCATTGGACACACCAAATACATCTGTGCCTCATTTCCTTTCCACACAGATTCTGATATGAAATATATATATTTCTCATAGATGCATTTATTAGACATCCTTATTTTGGACCTATTTGGCTTAATGTGATCCATCCTCACACGTCGAGTAGGTGATAGCAGACAGCATGACTGCAGTAAAGTAGCCTAATTGTTGATTCAAACCAAAAGGAAAATGTCAGAGCAGAAACTACTAGTTGATTCTGTGCGCAACAGTTTGGACATGTCAGGTTTTTAATAATTTTTAATCACCTGAAAATATGAATCGTTGTGTTTTTGTTACCTAAAATAGATGTTTTTATCTACAAAGGGGGAACACTGAACCTCTTCTACGAAGCCTGCGATGTTGAACCACCATGTTTCTACAGTAGGCCAGAAGGGACAAACAGCTGGGCTGTAGTAGGACCTTTTGTCTCCTCCTACATGCATGGAAGGCGAGGCTGTATTTCAGTTTACTCCTGGTCCCTTAAAATAATATTAGTTAGTGATCTTGTCATTTGACTCATAACTGTGACTTAATGATGATTCAAGGATATCACATACTATGATGGTTTAATGACAGCTGGTGCCGTTGGGATGTGATTGACAGCTCTACGACTGGTGGAGAAGACTGAAGTATTGACATAAAAGACTTTTTAAAGTTGTTTAAGTGTTAGAGGTGAGCACTCAAGACTTAATTTAATAAACACAAGTTTTATGCATCCTGGCTGCTGCTGAGTCATCACCAAGAAAAAAGGGTGGCTGGCCCACCCGTTACTGACTCCTCTTTTTTCATGGGTCCAGATGTGGTGACGGTGAATGATTAAAACTGCACAGCAACTACTGAATTTCCTCCAGTTCAGGGTGCTGGTCCCTGACCTGTGACCTCTGACCTGAGCTGTCTGCCTGCAGATAAAGACAAACTTTATTTCTTTGGCAGAGTTATCTGTATCTAATGAGGCTGAGTGTTTTCCTGGCAGCAGAATGTGAGCCTTGTATGTATTATAGAAACCGCTGCTGGGCTGCTCAACACACACACACATACGCCGCACCACACACACACCACACACACACACACAACCACACACCACAACACACACCACACACACAGCAGGTTGAAACCCAATTACTGAAATATGCCAAAATGCAGAACAGCACATATAGGGATTATTTTCCTGGTTAATTGTATAGTTGGAGACGAACGCGCCGGCAGGAAGAGGAACAAACACAATTGCAGGTCCCAGGCTGAAATAACAAATGAATGTCTGCCAAGCCCCCTAAGCAGGCTGCGTGTTCATGCTACAACCCACAATATGAACAAACAACCATCCTGACCTGTCCTTACAGTTTTACCAGCAGTGGCGTATGGAGGGTGGCACTGGAAGGAAAGGTCGAGGGTATTGAAATCGAAGCTTCCACCCCCTGAGCCGAACAAAAGTAACAGATCCAGACATTTCAGTTTTTTGTCTAGTGTAGAGGAAAAAGGCTTGCATGTAAAATTTGCATATTTTAATGAGGTAGAATCAAGAGATGTGGGCGCAGACATTTTGGGGCAGGGGGCTCAAGCAAAAAGAGGGGACCCTCCTCCCATTAGCTAATTCTCCATTCCCACCCGGGCGATGTTGACGCAGCCACTTATAATGACACTATTCATAACGTGCCATTTTACTGCAAGAACCTACAAATTTCATGAATCATTCAGTTGTGTTAGACGCAGTTCCAGTCAGCATCACAATTATGTTTACTCCAGAAAGAAAAATTAGTTAAAGGAAATTTAACAACATCTAACAGGAGCTGTACATTAATGAGTCAAGAGCCATCCGAAACATATCCTATGACAGCTTTTTTTGTAAGAGGTCACAAGCCCAGGATGGTTGAGCTTATTAAAGCT